GAAAGATGTAGGTTTTTTTTTTCTTAGGGATTAAAACCATATTCACACTCCCAATCCCTTTAGGGATAGCAAAACCCAAGAAAAAATCCTGAACAGCTAGCACGACATCTAACTTAATAATATCCCAACAACCTTTATAAAATGATCCTCCAAACCCGTCTGGACCTGGAGCAGAATCCTCACAAAGATCCCAAATCGCATCTCGAACCTCCTGTTCGTTTGGTAAATAAAGCAGCTCCAAATTGTCCTCCTCCGTCACAATATCAGGAATGAATTGAAGTGCCCTGTCAAAAGAAGAGGTGGGTTCAAAGCAGTAGAGATTTTTATAATAACTCACTGCCTCCTCCCCAATTTCTCTTGTGTCATATATCCAATCCCCATTAGCATTTTTAATTGCACGAATAAACTGTTTCCTCCGCTTATCCTTCACAGAAGCATGAAAGAATTTAGAATTAGCATCCCCATCCTTAATCCACCTAATATTGGCCTTTTGTTTCCAATAGATATCTTTATGCGTTTAAGAAGCAGAGCCTGTTTGAGGTGGCACCGCACTCTAGACTCCTCTGAAGGATCCTCCTCAAAAGCCTTCTCCGCCAGTAAAGCTTCTTGCTCCAGTTTGTTAATTTCCCCAAAAACATCTCCAAAAACATCCTTATTCCATATTTTCAAATCAGCTTTGAGAGACCTGAGCTTGAGACACATACCCCGCATACCCCCCATCCTCGGATACTCATCCCATTTTCTTTTCACAAAAGAGAGAAAGTCCTCATTAGTAAACCACATATTCTGGAAACGAAACTGAGATGGCCCCCTAACCGATGATGTCTCACAGATAAGCAAGATAGGGCAATGATCCGAAGATGCCTTACTCAAATGTTGAGTATTGACGTTTTCAAAGCCATCCAAAAAAACTTGGTTTACAAGATAACGATCCAATTTTTCCCAAATCCTCCCATTGGACCTATTACCAGTCCACGTATAAGTGGACCCAACCGTTGGAATATTTATGAGCTCACACGCCTCAATAGACTCCCGAAAATCTAGCATATCACCCAAACGAGGACCTGAAGGTCCCTTATACTCCAATAGACTCGACAATGTTAAAATCACCTCCCAAAATCCATGCTCCCTTTACTATCTGTGCAAAGCTTCTCAAACCAGCCCATAACTGCTCCCTCTCATTACGCGTATGCTTTCCATACACGGGAAAGAACGTAAAGGTGAAATCAAGAGGAATAAATTTAGCGTTAACCACCAAAAATTGATCCTTGTCCTCAACTGAAATGACATCAAAGGCTGAAGCATTCCACATAATCCAAATTTTATTTGAAGCTGACATAAAAATATTAGAAAACCCCAAGCTATTCAAGTAAAAACCTCCACTCGAAGCATTAACAATAGGTTCAGGAATTTCCTGTCAGGAGCCCCGTCCGGCCTCCTCCATTTGGGGCCTTCCCGGTAGTATTTTTTACTCAAATTTTTTGTGTATGTTCCTCATCAAGTCTAGTTCATCCTTACCAAATTTGAGCAAAAACTTCAATCGGGAAGGTCGTCAAATGATTTTTGCAAGTTAACTGGTCCAGAAAATACATATTCCGGACCAATTAACTTGCAAAAATCATTTGACAACCTTCCTGATTGAATTTTTTGCTGAAATTTGGTATGGATGAACTAGACTTGATGAGGAACATACACAAAAAATTTGAGCAAATAATACCACCGGAAAGGCCCCCCAAATGGAGGAGGCCGTACGGGGGTTCCTGTCCGGAAACCTAGTTAGCTTTTTTCCGTTTTAAACGCGTTTTAAACACGTACCGTTTTTTTTTACCAAAAAAACACGTTTAAAAAGGGGGGAAATGTCGGTCCGTTTAAAAAGGAAAAAAACTCCTACTTCCCGTATAAAACGTATTTTTCCCGTATTTTACAAAAAAACATAAACATGAATTGACCAATTGAATGAATGCACTAAATGCATAGAAGATCAACAATAGTGTAAAAGTAAAAATGAAAACGTCCCCCCCCATGATCTCGTATTTTTGTATTGTCACTGTGCAATTATTAAATACTAAAATTAATTGCATGATGGCTAAAGCTAGCATCCTGAAATACTAAAACTTAGGTAGTAATATACTACAAGATTTCTGATGTTTTTTCAAGCTAGCATATCAAAATTAATTAATATTTTTCTAAACCTACCGTTTTTTTACCATAAAGTTTTACACAAACAATAATAAGTGTAGCAATCACACAACTTTTGTCATATGTCATCCGTCATCTTAATCAAAATGATAAGTTTAACTTGAGTGTTATTTGATGATCATATAAAGATAATGATTTTTTGACATTATTTTTCAAAATTATGACTTGGACTTAATTACTGTTTTTATTTTTGTCATCGACTTATGCAATTACAAACTATTCTTGTATGTAGTAATGTGATTTGCTACTTGAATATGTGTGTACTTTTATTTCTTTTTTACTACATATTTAATTTATGAAATATATCATTTAAATGTTCAAAATAATACCCGTATTTTTCGTCCGAATTTTTGTAATAAATAACGTATTATACATGTATACATATTTACACGTTTTTTAAAAGTCAACGTTTTTTTAACGAATTTTTGACCGTTTTTTTCATCCATGTTACCGAATAAAACGCGTACGTATTAAACTTCGTTGAATTCCCGTATCGTATTTAACTAACTAGGTCTGGAAATTCCGGACAGGAATATATGTGTGTGTGTGTGTGTGTGCGCGCGTGCGTGTGGGCGCGTGCGTGGGTGCGTTTGTGGGTGCGTGTGTCAATGTTCGAAAAGGCGCTAGTCGAAGACACATAATTATAATTTTATTGATATTTTTGCACAAATATGATTAATAATGTTGTGTTTGTGTGTGTATAAAAAAATATATATACACATACACATTAACATGCATGAATGAAAAAAACATGCATGAATGATAGAGTTGTCACATTTAATAATACATTATACCTACGCACTTAACATCATTATGTAATAATAATTATATTAAAAAACAATAACACTTAAGATTATATATAAACATGTATAGTTTTTATTTTAATTTATGACTAGTAGCTTTGTATACGTTGTTAAAGTTAAAGATACATATATCTCTTAGAATACTAAAATAAAAACGCAAAATAAAATCTTCAACGAATCTAGACGCCAAGACGGCCGATTAAGCGCTCTGGGCGGGTAACTAAGCGCCTTAGGCGGTCGACTGATTGACCTAGGCGCCAAATGAATTAGGCGGAGCGCCTAGACTAAAATCGGGGCGCCTGACCACCGCCTAGCGCCTAGACAGGGACTAATCGGGCGCCTAGAACGATTTTTAGAACAGTGATATAGGGAACAGTTCCAGTAAGAACGGACTCGCTGAATTGTCTTATGTGAAACTGAATTGTGCATTTGATGAAACTGAAGTGTGCATTAGATGATATTGAAATGTGCAGAAAAAAATTTAAACTCAAGTGTGCATTAGGTGAAACTGAAATGTGCGGAATAAAAGGTACAAAAATAACATCACGCCGTACCTTTTATTGTACACATTTCAATTTTACCTAGTGCACATTTCAATTTCAATCTCACTGCAGAATTTCACCTAATGCACAATATCTTTTGTGCTGCACATTTCAATTTCGCATAATGCACATTACAATTTCACTTAAAGCAAATCTAACGATCCAAATTCATTCTCATTTCTCTCCTAACATATATAATTTGCATGGACTTGGGCCCCCAAGCCCTATACTAGTTCCGCCCCTGGTTCTTGATCCTCATTTTAAACTTGCTACTTCTTAAACAATTTTAGAGTATTTTTATACTTCATTTACGACGACAATGCTATAAATCCTCAAACGCAATTCAACGAGATTAGTAATCTGTTCCATAATTTATTTAACAAGTCTCTTGCACGATATGCTAACGTACTCCCTCCCCTGAAGCTGACTACTTTTTCATCTAGAATAATACTTTCTCCATTTTTTTAATTGCAACACTTTCCTTTTTTGGCAGTTTCAAAATAATTGCAACATTACTCTTTTAGACAAAAAAGAATACCTACAATGACCTTAATATCCCTACTCAAAACTCATTTGTTTCTCCTTCACCGGTCTCTGATATACGGATCTACCACATCCAACTTCACATCTCTCTTTCCTAATCTTCACGAATCACGGGCATCAACTTTTTTCACATCTCATCTTCTTCACAAAGATGAATGAAGATTATTAGGACTGCCAATGTATAAAAGTAGCTTTTGAAAGTTGGATGGGACGTTTGTACTATCTATGTAGCTTCTTTGTACAATTGTACTTGTTCTATTATTACTCCGCACCGCCGCTTTCTCCATCTCACAAGGAGAAGATGGTAAAGTCACAAATTTCTTAAATAGTGTGCCTATTCTCTATTCTTTTTAAATCTACAATATCTAATAGTGGTGGACTGAACCGGGCCGGTTCAGGCCTCGGGCCTAGGCCCGGCCGGGCCTCGGTGTAGTAATAGCAGGCCCGAGCCCGAACCGGGGTAGGGCGGTCCCGGGTCCGGTTCCGGGCCGGGCCGGTCGGGCCACCCGGTTTAATTTTTTTTTTTTCCTTTCTTCCCCCCCCCCCCACCCCCCCAACCCCCCCCCACCCCCCCCAACCCCCCAACCCCCCCCCCCCCCCCCAAACCGGCCTAAACAGATAGCCCAAGCCCAGCAGCCCAAAAAAAATGAAAAAAATTAAAAAAAAAAATAGATTTGGCCCGGACCCGGGCCCGAACCGGCCGGGCCGGGCCGTCAAACCCATGAACCGAGCCCGGAACCGCCCCACCTCCGGGCCTCCGGCCCGAACCGGACCCGGAAAACCGGGCCGGGCCCGCACAGTAGCGGGTCGGGCCGGTCCCGGGCCGGGCGGCCCGAACCGAGGCCATGCCTAATATCTAATCTTTCTGGAAAAATAATAATCTACTCATGTTGCACAAAGCTCAATTAATGAGGCCATGCCTAATATCTAATCTTTCTGGAAAAATAATAATCTACTCATGTTGCACAAAGCTCAATTAATGAGCTTTCTTTATATGTAACAGTTCTGGTTAAGTATGAAGTAGGGGGAGTTTGACTTTCTCCACTGGTGGAAAGAGAAACAAGGAATGTTTCGCATTTTATCAAAAAATGGCAAAACAATATTGTCAATGCTAGTTTCAGAGGTTGCGGTAGAACAAGAGTTTAGTGAAACCAAGAGTTTGATGAATGTATCAAAGGTTGATGTGGAACAAGAGTTCAATGAATCCAACAACAGACTAATCAATTATAAAACGATATTGAGAGCATAATCTCTGGAGACGCTCATGTGCTTCCATGAGTGGTTGAAGCAATGGCATGAAACTCAATAAGTTACCAAACTGCCACTTCATGGATGAAATGACAATTGACACTGGTGGAAGTTCAGACGAACAGGAAATGTATGGGATATGTATTCAAGGTTCAAGCAAGTCTGCAAGAAATGATAATTTAAAAAAACTTAAACCAGGGAGGTTTAAACAAAATTCGGAAATATGTATGATAATAATCATTACATATTAGAAATATAGTATTAGACAAGTACTATAATAAATAAACCTCATACATGTGACTTTCAAACAAACATCCAACAACTCCCTTATTTCTCTGATTGATGTCCACGTTTTGCCCTACGACGGGAACGGTGTGTGCTACCACTTCTATTGGATGGTTTAGCCCTGGGCAGATGGGTATTTTTCAAATAACAAAAGAAAACGTCTACTTTAGTCTTACAAAAAAATATTCAACAAGTACACAAAAAACCTTAACAATGAATTGCTCACCGGAAAATGGCAGAGAAAACTTTGAACAAAAGAAAGATTGGCAAAGCCAGCATAGCAGAGGCCTACGACAATTTAAAAATCAGCATGGCGTAGCTATAAACACAATGATTCTACAGGGCTGAGGGCCTTGAGAACATATAAGAGTGATGAAAGTAAAAGCTAATGTGTTGGATGTGGCAAACCGATACATACAGCAAACCAGATAAGCTCCTTTGTCGCAAAAGGACTCGTGCATTCATGTCTCTTCAGTGTGTCTTGAACATTGCTTTGAAGCTTCACATTACAGAATCAATGGAATATTTGCTCATACACTGGTGGCCATAATTACGCTCCTATTATTCTGAATTACACTTGTACCAAAGAAATCCTCAAGTGAAAGAGACTAAACCCTATTGACACAATAACAATAGCAATAAAAAGAGCCACATGACACCTCTCTACAGCGCTATTCACTGTTAGGGGAGAGAGAGATGGAGTGCATTCGATGAGTTGGGACATAATGCAGAGAGATTATTCCACTTTTGACCCTTCAACTTTAGTGTTTTTCCTTGGAGTATCCTTGTGTTTCATGAACTCTACAAGCACTTGTTTTTCTACCGAAAGTTGGCATTTCCTGTTTCACGTGTCCCTATGCTTTCTGTGTTTCCATGCATTATACGACATCATCTTTAACACCGACCAGCTTTTAGTACACTCACATCTTAAAAAGTTCCCACTCTTTTAGTCCTCCGTTAAAGTTTTGGTTTTCTGATGCTCAATTTGAAGGATATAATGATAAACATCTTCACTTACCATCACATTTCTTTTGTCTTTTGAATTTTGATTGGCCCTCAGGTACTTGCAACCATAATCTGCCAGCACTAGTTTCCTTCATGTTTTACTGGTTCGAATTTCAATATTCACTTTTAAAAATATACACTTTTTGTTTGGACTTCACCTCAATCCCATGTGAGGTGTTATTGGTTCGTTCACAACGCCATCTAAATATTTGTTTCCTTCATGTTCTACTGGTTTGAATTTCAATATTCACTTTTAAAAGTATATACTTTTTGTTTGGACTTCATCTCAATCCCATGTGAGCTGCTATTGGTTCGTTCACAACGTCATCTAAACGTTATTTTTTCCAATTATATCCCTCAAACTGATGCTCATATAACTGAAGCCCTAGCGAAAACATAGTGTTAGGTACTATATTTTGGTTGGTTTTTAAGGAGGGAAAAATCCAGAGAAAACATTATAGTCAAAAGACCAAAAGTGGAATATCCTATTTACCCAGAGAAGAGCTACAGTTGCAGAAACAACATGTGCTTCAGGTGGCAATAACAATTAGCATAGTAGAGAAGCAATAGGTCAGTAACTAGCACTGCAAAGATACATACACGCTATATGCAATTCCTTCGGCTACATATACCAGTGCTCTTAAACTCGGGATACAATACCCTGAGGTACCGCTGGTGTTCTGGTTCCTTCAATTAAACTATTTGGTAACGCAAGTACGCAACTAGCGAACTAGCTTTCTGCATTTAATATTGAGATCCAAAAGAAAGATGCTTCATATTTACCTGATGGTGGTATGTGGTGGCAGACTCTAGGAATTTTCTATAAACATGAACTGCCTTCTTTGTGTACGGTTTTGCAGCAAGACGTGCTTTTTCCACGTGAGGTCTCGTTGTAGAGGCTAGCTGGTCAATGTATGGCTTGCTGAATTTCCGAATGTGCTGGCAATATTAATGATATAGTCCCTGAGTATCAAACATATAGCACCATCTAGGGGGTGGGGAGGGGGTAGTAGAGCCATTTTGACCACAAATTCAATACCTGAAAATAGGGGTTTGCAATTTCCTGAACCTTGAGTACATGTGGGGTAACTGCGTCCTTGGAGCTTGCATACGTTTCAAGAACTTTTGTCTTTAGAGAGTGAAGATGTGGTTCAACATATGTAGCCATTAAAAGGCATTGTTCTTTCACACACGGGAACCATTTCTTCATAAGAACAGGCAAAACAGCAAGTTCAGGTTAACAGCGATGAATTAAACATAATGAATTACAATGTACATTGTAGAATGCTGATTAACCAAGAATTCTTTCTGTTTTTCATCCTACGACTATTATCTTTCATAGTTTTGTCCCTATACTTTCATTGTTCCACTTTTGGTCCCAAAGATACAACTTTTTTGTCAGTTAGGGTACTTCAAGTCACTTTGCCTGTAAAATTAATCAGGAATTGTATAGGAATTAACCGCAAAATGACCGCAATGACCATATGTGAAAAAAAAATCTAGTCATACGACCAAAAGTGGGAAAATGAAAGTTAGGACCAAAAACAGGAATGACCTACTCATGGGACCAGAACTAAAATTAATTCACCAACTCCGTCATGAGATCATTTTTGGTATCATGCTTGTCTTAAGCCAAATAAAGGAGTGTGTTGTGGTAAGCATGTGACGGCTAGCGTCACTTAGTCAGATCACATGAAATGAATCGAAATATTTATATTAGTACAGCTAGGTTGCTGCCCATACGCGACACGACATCCTCCTACCCGGAGTGGAGTCATATATACAAGAGCGTGCTACATTACACTGGTCCGGGTGCGGTGATAAGAATGATAAGGTTGTTATGTCATCACCCGAAAGCGACATGCCATCACAATGCTAGGGGATGGTTCCAAATATGTGAGGGCGTGATGGGGGTCAAGGTGGTGTTAAGAGATGGGGAAGTTCTGGATTGCGCTTTGGACATGCAACGTTTGGTCTCTTACAGAAAGACCATCTGAGGTAGTCGAGGTTATGAGGAGGAATATCAGCATAATGTATGTGCATGTAGAGAGAAGACACGACAGATTAATCCCAGACGTTTGGATTTGTGGCATTCAAGGAGAGAGAAGACAAGAAATGGAGTAGACATTATTGTTGCCTGTGACTATGTGTTGAGGTTGTGGTGGAAATCTTTAGGAACAACGACCGCATTATTGGCGTTAAATTGGTGATAGGGGAGATCGCGTCTGTGGTGACTATGCATCACGACAACTGCCAAAGGGATAGAAGCCGGCCATATGAGGCGACCTCAATGGGCATTTAGAAATATTACCTATTCATACGTTGAGACAAAATTCAAAGTTACCAACACTAAGCGGGAAAAAACATTTTGAATTTTGTCTCAACGTATGAATAGGTTATAATGAACACTTAGTTTAAGAAAAAAGAAACGCTCACCATGTGACCAGTAGAAATGGAGCTAATAGTGCTCAAATTGACTACTACTTAGTACGAACTACCTGGAAAACTAGCTAAACTGATTGTCAGGTTATCGTGAGTGAGAGTGTTGTCACCAAACATAGCATGCTTGTGCTTAATTTTCGAGGTAAAAAGTATAGAAGACGAGTTAAAGGAGCCCCCAATATAAAATAATGGGGGCTTGAAAGAGATCTCCAACAAAGCTTTGCACACAAAATGTTTGATGAAGATGTAAGGTGTATTGATAATGACGCACAAAATAAGGGTCATCATCATCGTTACCCCAGTGCCACAAAGGCTCCCACCTACGGTGGGGTAAGGGACGCACACAAAATAAGGGTGATGTAAAATAATGTGCGAACCACCGAGGGATCACGCTTATTAGGCCCACCATGAAATTTTGGGAACAATGAATGAGCAAATGGTCCAAAGAAGTGTGAAGATTTCAGAGAATCGGTTCGATTTTATGTCTCATCATAATATATAAGAAAAATATAAATATGTAGTTACTATTTTTATACTTTAATTTTTATATACGGATTAAACTTTTATATTACTATAGATATAAAAATGGGTAATTGGTAACTTTGAAAAAAATATAGTAACATAAAGATAATATATTTTTATTATATTTTTAAATAAACTAAAAAATTTGAACAAAAATACAAATGGATAATGTAAACATAATGGTTCATATAAATTATCAAACCAAAGACTTAAAATTTGTGTTATATTACAAACCATTAAATATAATATATAAAATAAAAAATTTAATATAGTTGGTAAAGATACATTGTTTATTTCTTATATGAATACGTAGTTGTTATAAAATATGAAAATAAAGTTAATTTCTTTTAGTTTTAATTTTATTTTTTATTTTGAATTGACCGCAAGATATAAATATTTCATATTTTTTTTATATTTTCGATGTGCATTTTATTTTATACTTGTATTTTTTATTTATCTATTTCAAAATTTCGACATTTTTCAGAGTTGAAGGGGTAAATTGAATGATTCGTTCTGGTTCAAGAGCTTATTTGACCCTTTAGTAGCCACTTCGGATGCACGTGGCCGTGACCGGATCATGACTTGCAAAATGTTAAATTTGAATGTTTTTGTTGAGTTCAGGGTGTCAATTGGATCTTTTTTTAGTTAAGGGGGTAAAATGAACATTTTGGACAAGTACGGGGCCTATTTGATCCTTTAGCCTTAAATATATTATGTTATATACTTACATATGGACATATGGTGTGACTAGTCACTTAATTGTTGCCTAGGCAATAAGGCAGGTGGGCCACCTCGCCTCACCACGTGACAACCATGATGATAGGGTACCTCGAAAGAGTCCTTTGGTGGGCCTTAACTAGAAAAGGCATATCACATAAGTATATCAACATCATCATGGATATGTATATAATTGTACTAGTGTAGATTGCAAGGTTCGCTATCTAAGTAGCACCGAGACGGAAACGGAAACAGGGACGGAAATGCAGACGGGGAAGCTCCAAACTCAAAATACAGGTACGAGAAGGAAACGTCGAACTAAAAATTAAAATTTTACTAATATAGGTCATGTTTACACCCAACAAATAAATCAAACATATGCCCTTGTTATAATCCATTCTTCATACATAATAATAAATAAAAGAGAAAACAGGCAAATAAGCCCTCGAACTATTTGCGTTTTTGCAATCGGAAGAATTACAAATATACCCCTCAACTCATTGAAAATCAAGCAATCAGGTCCTTTTTTACCTGTTGGTGCAAGTAAGGAGATGAGAAACTAACGACACCAGTGGGTAAAAGACCTGATTGCTTGGTTTTCAATGAGTTAAGGGGTGTATTTGTACTTCTTCCAGTTCAGGGGCTTGAATGCAAAAACGCAAATAGTTCGAGGGCTTATTTGTCTGTTTTCTCTAAATAAAATGACAACATTCAATGATAAACACACTCTAATTTTGGCTCATCTAAGGATAAATTAGCAAATGCCAAATAGCCCATTTCTTCCAAATTGCCAAACTCATCTCTTCCAACATCCCACATATTAGTCTTCTAATTTGTGTATTTTGTGTATCGCTCAGAATTCCTTGACAAAAGGCGAAGGTTGTTGTACCAAATCCTCCGCATGCATAGGAGTTAACTTGTTCTGCCTAAGTGAATGGATAAAGGAGTAAGTACTCCTATTACGTTCACAAGAAGGTGAAGACGTAGGTTGGCCAAGAACTCAAGCAAGCAATTGAAGGATTGGTGTTTGAGCACCAAAGTTAGCCCACCAACTTTTAAGATCCATATTTCCCCTCCGAAAGAGGTGTAATAACTGCAAAAGGCCCCATCCTAAGTGAAAAAGAAGCAAACTCATCCAAAACTTTATCATAATCATCACTACCTGGAAACAACCATCCGAACCATTTCATTCTCTCTTGAGAGATCTCACCATCTCTATGAGGAGGAACCCTAGCGAGATCCGCATCAAACCAAACCTCAATGTAAAACCTATTACAAAAGTAATACAACCCAAACTTTAATAATTAAATAAAATACTCCCTCCGTCCCGTTAGAAGGTTCTCACTTTCCTTTTTTGGATGTCCCGTTAGAAGGTTCTCATTTCCATTTTAGGAAAGAATTAACAATCTGATAGGAACCACCAGGTAAACAGTAAAATTTACAGAAATTTATTAAGAATCAAAGAGAATTTTATCGAAGATGAACAAGAAGTTCTGGCCGAAGCCCCCAAGATTGAGCCGAAGCCCCCCAAAGAAAGAGAATAGTTCTCGATCTCCCAAAGTCCCAAAGTCAAAGTCTAAAACAGCCTACTCGACTTCTCCCCAGTTTAGTCTATTTATACTAACTATTACACTTATTATTATTCTGGGTTTATTAGGCCCAATTCCTAACAGTCCATTAGGCCCAATCCCTAACATACTCCCCCCTAAACATCCACCTTGCCCTCGAGGTGGGTAATAGGACACAGCCACAATCTTTATCTTTTCTTTCATCCTAGCACTTCTTCCTTTCCAATACTGGCATGATTTCTGGACCCTTAGCTTGGCTGATTCCATTTTTTTTCCTATGTATTTCACAGCAGAATTACACAACTGCCATGACATTCTATCCCGAATTGACTTGAAAACTTCAGGGTACTCCTTTATAAACTCATTCCTTCTGCCTTCAATTCTCTGTTCTTGCTTCTGCTTTGTGCTTTGTCCTTCACAGTACAACCAATACCCATCACCTTGAATAACATGATTCAGCCCTTGTTTCTTCCATTTTATGATCTGGTTTTGGAAATTAACTTCCATATCACCTAGATTAGTCAACCATTCCAATCCTAGCACCATGTCAGTCCCACCAAGCTCCAACATATAAAAATTCTGTTGAATTTCATTGCCCTGCACATTCAGTTTCATCCCTTCACATCTACCATAGTTGGAGATCAGTTTTCCATTCCCTATCTGTACCTTATATCCCTTGATACTTTGAAAAGGTATCTGCCATCTTTCTACAAGTTGTTGGGATATAAAGTTGTGGGTAGCACCACTATCAATCGATACATTCACCTGTTGCTCATTTTCTGACCATTTCAATTCCCCTTTTACCTGGAAAGTCTTCATAGAATAGCTTCCTTCTTTACTTGGGTCTGACAACTGCATAGATTTGAGTTCCTTATGAACCCCTTTTTCTTCTTCTGAGTCACTAGATGCATTTTCAGATCCTTCCTCTCCTTCAGATTGTCTCCTCGGCACCATC